GCCGGGGGACGGGGAAGCAACGGGCCCGGAGAAGGTGCCTGGGGGGATGCGGTGGTCCCCCCGCCAGCCCCAAGCTCTGCTCCCCTCACCCTGCACTGCAGGGAGCCCGTTTCTAACAGCCCAGGAACAGATCGCTCTGGACACCGTGTCTTCATCTTATTTTCCTTGTGAAATTCCACTTTTCACGATGAGAAGATAATTACGTGACAACACCTCTGTTAATTGCACTGCGGATGCAGAAGTGGGATACCTTGCATCCCTTCTTACCTGGAGCTATTTTATATTTTCCCTTTCTCCCAGCCTGGGCAGCGAGGCTCCCCGGGCTGTTCACTCCCACGTCCAGCCAGTTCCACCCCAACTTCTCCCTGCTGCGATGTTTGGTGCCCAGGACCTGGGCAGGCAGAGGTGATTTCTACCAGCACAGCCGGGCTCGCCCTTATCTCACTGCCCACGTTTTGAAACATTTCTCTTGGTCAAACAGCTTAAAGAGGGTTTTTTTTATGTCTCCTAAGATTTTAGATCGATTTTCCATCGACAGGGCGCCTTTAACTTGCAGCTGCAGCACTGAAATGAGCTGGTAGGAAAGCGTCAGTTAGCAAGGGCAGCTCCCAAGGGCAGGACACCGAGCCACAAATAGCGGCACGTTCCCGTCCCCAGCACCCTTCTGACCCACTCCTCGCTGGAGAAAATGGGGCAGTACGGCCCCATCTGCAGCACTGGGCACTTCCCCAGATAACGAGCAGTTATGGGGCTGGGGAGGGGTGTTTAAAGCTTAGGAGCTGGAGATTCTTGCAGGAAAAAGGTGTCTCTGTTCACCTGTGACAAGGGGAAGCTCAAACGACCATAAAGTAGCGCCCATCCCCTCTGCCCAGTGATGCTGAGCTCCACGCACAGCCCGGCCCTGCTGAGCAGGGGGTGCAGGACCGCTGGGCTCGGGGTCACACAGGGCTCCCGGTGTGTGCTCGGGAGCTGGTGCCTTGGTTTTACAGGCATTGGAAAGGGTTCCCCCCCCTCCCTCAGAGGAGCTCACTGTCA